ATTCACTGATGTTAACAAGATATAAATGATAACTATGAGAAAGGGGCGGCTGGAACTTATCACATGGACCTAGGGCAGCCAATGCCTGTGTTCAAAATATATTAAAGTCCACTTGGATGAGCGATCATATCATTTCCAGCGCATCATTTAAATAATCACCAATGTTTTAATAGAATTTAACACAATATAAGCAACTTTAAAAAAAAATTAATTTTCCAATTGATACATTTTGAATATTTTCTAGGTTGTAAAAATGTATACATTGTCCCATAAAAGAATTACTTATTCTACGCAGTTCAGTAGTGGGTAAAATTAATTTATGTTTGTTCCTAGTATTTGTATCATGCAAATTACCATGTCTTGAAAATTCATTCTTATTTTTATGGTTTCAGGCGTTCAGAACATTTTCCAGGATACTGATAAGCAGCAGTCAATCTTTTAATCTGTTTGAAAAAAAAATTTTGTCGTTCTTTGGGGCCTAGGTTATAAACTGCCCGAAACATTTTGAAAAACGCTTCGCATGTGACTATATGACACGCTGGAAATAGCGAGGTTCAGACTAGTTAAAACAAGAAAATTGTTTTTTGTTAGATGTAGGTACCGTATGTAATAGAATACGTGACAACCACAAACAATTAAGTTTAAACAATTTCAAACAATGTGTACAAGCTGCTAAAGGAAAGGGCCTATTATAATGTTGTAAAAGACATTGAGGACAAGCTTGTGTGGAAGTAAGTCTTGTTCTGCACTTGAAAGTTCCCTGGCTTCTGCTGATTTTATACTTAAATAATTTTGTATACTTATATAATTTAAAAAAAAAGGATACCAAATACCGCAGTTTCTTGCCGGTTTTTCTATGGATAGGATTAGTTTACTGGACCGGTGGTAGTTTTTGACGTTCAATAAGAGCCTATATAAGCCTAATAAGCCTATATTGAATAAAGAAATTTTGCTCTGATTTTTCGAAAACATCGATGGCATTGTATAAAATTGAGAAATTCAAATTTGCTATTTTATGAAGTAAAGCTATTCTCAGTTTAATAATGTTTGATTATTTATTACTTTACAAAGTGCATACATTGTCACCATGTATTAAATATAAACAACCCTTTTATTGTATTCCTCTTACGCTAAAATGTTAACGTAATGGAAACGAAAACATTCGACCACATTACAATTTACTACAAAAATGTATTCCATCCTTCGTAAAAACTAAATTCAACTAAAATTGTCGATACATGCATTATTCAACAGAGTTTGCGTGCATTTCTGTCACATGGATACTAGAGGGTACTTTCTTTAAAAGCCGCCGGCGATGCACAAGGGCATAGAGTATTGCTGTATAAAATGAAACCACAATGACTGATGTGGAAAGGAAACACGTTAGTAACCACCATACTGGCATATCATGAAATTTGATAATCTCTCCGCAGCATTGACAAATACATGATCCAACCATTTTTAAGAGGCTTTATAACAATCAAAAATATCTGTGTATCTGAAAATAAATTTAAGAGATAATACTATATGCACTACTACTACAATTGAGTCTTGTAGGAGATAATTAGGTCTTCTTGTATCTTGTATTAACTGATGTTTTTGCTCTCAGTCCCGAGACTATTAAAGCTTCATCGGACGCAGAACCGGTGGGCTAGCCAGAACCCACGGGTTTGGACCCTCCGCTATGGGTAGGGTCGCGCATGTGCTCATGCGTGCGTTTAACTACTATGGTGTGTCATCTAAGGGCCGTCGAGGTCGCCGGTTCGGACCGAGACCCCGACGGCCGTCGACTGTGCATTTAGCTAATCGGTGGCTGGGAGCGGTGAAAACCGCCCCGGAACGCGGGTGTACCTTGTGTACGCGTTGTGTGGGTCTCACCGTGCTCGGAGGCGAGGGCGAACTGGTGTGATTGTTGTTACACTAACTGTGGGTGTAGTGTTATCCGGCGGGACAGAAAATTAGGTAAGATATTTCATGCAAACCTATATCTCTTTGTTAATTTTAAGTGCTGACTTATCACGTGCCCAGGGTTGGAAGAAAATATCATGAGGAAACGTTTATATTGTCGAAATAATAAACAAAACAAATGTTTCGGAATTTACGTGAAGTCTGCCGTTGCTTATATTGGCTTCGGCATCGAGGGTCGTGTGTTCAATCCCACGGAGTACAAGATTTTTTGTGACCCCCAAGTTAATGCCCGGATCTGGGTGTTTGTTTCCGAAGGAGGGTTGAGGTGAAGCAGGTGGTCGTAAAAACATAGCCAGAACCGTTTACCATGATTCACATGATGTGCCGACCCTGCCTAGATGGGATAAGGGTACGAAAATGATGATGATGTGAAGTCCGCCTAACCGCAGTTTGGTCGTGTGGTGGACTATGCCCTAATAACCTGTACAGATACAGAGGAGGCTTTCGCCCTGCAGTGAGACAGTGCCCTTACTTTACTTCCTATAAGGATTTTTAAGTCAGACATCAGACATATAATACAACTGACACTTAGGCCAGTTAGAGTAATGCCTATGACGAAATAACATGAATAAGCCAGCTCAATTATGAGTAACAAGAAATCATAACTAACATTCGCTCACAACATACTCGGTGTTTGTAAATAATCAAGTGGTTCTCGAATGAACTTCACTGGTTACAGGTTATTTCTATTAGACAAATATGTTTAAAAGAAATAACCTCAAGTTATTTCTAAAATAATTGTTTGTTTAAAGTCATACATATCGTTTCAACTACTTGCTTCAATTCGTCTGACATTTCCCCGTCTTTAAAAAACGCCAAAAAGTCCACACTACGTGAAACAATGTAACTTGGCTTTATGATAATGAACATGGTTTGGACTGATTAATAATATTATGATTAGTCTAATACAGGATATCTTTACAAAATTTACAAGGTTTTTTTTTTTCATGAGACGGTACAAACCCGTTTTCATTAGATCTTGGTAAATAATCCATAATTTTTTGTGATATGCAAAAGATAACAATTGTTACTGTAGGCTATCCTTAGAAACATACATCACCTCGGACTATTTTCTCGATCTTTTTAAGATATACAATTCTGTAGTAGGTACATTAATTTGATCAATCTCATAAAGTTTAGTCAGCGTTTGCAATGCAAGCGCACAAAAATATGTTTGTTACGACATCACATTATAAATCTATGAATCTCTCAGCTTTTCTTTACTATAATATGCGTGTATATTACACATCCTTTAGAATCACCACATATTGCCGAAAACTGCATTAAAATCCGTTGCGTAGTTTAAAAGATCTAAACGTACAAACAGCGGGAACGACTTTGTTCAATACTATGTAACGATATCTTTCATAAGTTGTACTTGTAAAACTGTCGTAGTTGTTGAAGTGAAAATAAGAAGTTTGCTTCATCTTAACATTAAAATTTGTAGTTATGGTTAATATATAATAAATAATTCGTCGGAAGATTGAGTTTTCGTTTTAGAAATTTTAGTGTGGTAGGGCAACGCACCAGCTCCTTTTATACACTATTATATACCACCCCCTTAGCCTCACAAGACCGGAATGAAGTTGAAGTGCTATACTTTCGTTCGTCTAGTAACTCTAGTGAGTTATTTAATTGTTAATTACCATGAGCCGGCTCTATTGGGCGGAATTCTATTGTCAGGTTACGTGTGGACAAAATATAAACCTTTTCGATAAATAAACACGATTACGACATACATTTTGATTAAGATTTTCATATTGTTAAAGCACAGCTCCGCAAGTTATGACGTATTACACTAATAGTTTCCAAGTGATTATTTATATTTATTCCGCAATGACTTTCGGCAACTTGTTAATTGATTAATCTGCAATAACTTATAGGAATATAATGGACCATTCATTAAACATTCACTTCGTTATTACGCTTTTCTAGATATTTTCTAAAACGAATTATAATTATGGGCAGACTAATTACCTTAGTTTTAAACATTGCAAGGAACTTGGAAAATTAGTTACTCGTAGATATCAAACGGCATTTTATTAAGTCTGAAATGGTTAATTGTGCAACCCGTAAAGCCTAACCTCAATTACATGACAAATTTTTGACAGTTCAGTTAAAGGCTTTAATATTACTACATTACCAAAGTTTGAAATGTTCAACGCACTTTCTTTAAATGGAGAACAAACTAATCTTACGCAAGCAAATATATTTGTTTAGCAGCGGCAGTTCGCAATGCTGTGATGCAGTTGTTAAGTTATCGGATCCGGCGCAGGGGGTCGTGGTTCCCACTCGGGACAGGTTGTCTATGCATTTATATAGACAATTGTCTATATAAATACATAGACAATTGTTCAGAATCAACATTAGTGCTCCCAAGAAGAGTTTACGTCCGGCAGACGGTCGGCCATAAAAATCTAGTAATTACCACTAGCACCGCACTACACATAGGGTGAATGATATTGAACACCTGTAAAGTTTTTTTTCATTTTTAAAATAACTCAAAGTAAAGTGGTTAGTGTGATGCACACAAAATTACCTTGAGTGCTCTGTTAATAAATTTATTTCTTTATTCGAAATACAAATCTATGCATACACGTTTATATTATGCAAAACTATGCAGGTGATAATTTAAGAACTATTTGAGATTATTTTACGTTGATCTTTTTCTAGGTTTATTCACCAATTATAGTAGAACAAAATGAGTGAAGAGGGAAAAATGGAATTTATTAAACTATTATAACAAAATTACAACATTAAACACCAAATTATAAAACGATTAACTAATTCATTCAAAATTATGTAGTCATCATAAGCACCTTTACATTAATAATTCGTCATGGATTTTTTCTTAACCTTAGAAGCAATAATGAACGCAACAGCAAACCGGTATTTGCTAAGTAAGAAATGAGAATATAAACATAATGGCCACGATTCGCTCAGCTCCCTCCTGCACTACCGAGCCAACACACAATTTTAATCGACACTGGAAACAAACAGTCTCCTGGAAAGCGTTCAAAGAGGAAACTCACCCCGATTAGTGGCGATCTGTCGATGATAGAATGCCTCGCGATAAGCGATAACGCGCGCGCCTCGTGTGCGCGTAAACTGCGCGCTGTCTCTACACCAACTGTTGTTTTGCACTGTGTACTGATTTCCCAGTTTCCTCCACTTGCTGCTGCACGAATCGCTCGCGCGTACGCCCGAAGCGGAGGCTCGCGTTGAGGGCCTGTGACAAAAACGCCCAAACAAGTCCGAAGAGCGTTCTTAATCTTCTATAATCGAAAACGCCGATGTGGTTTTCCATATACAGATGCTGTTTATCTTTACGGCGATTATTATTTGTACAGACGACTTTTATGAATTATTTTAAATGTTTTACTTTTATATGTCATAAATTAAGTTCTTTTCCAGGTCATATAAGAAACGTTAATTATGTTATACCTAAATACACTAGAAGCCTTAAAAACATTTAAGCCTTACACACAATAATTTCCTTAATAATAATTTATACGAACGTTAGAGTTATAACACATTGTTAAATAATAATATTAAAAAAATTAAAATAATTTAAAATTTGTAATATTTTAAAATTCAAAAGATTCTTTGACATAAAATCATTAACGTTGTAGAAAACAATAGTTTAAACATCGGCTTATTTAATAATGGATAATTTCAGTGCATCTGAAAATATTCCACAGGAAAATGATAAATTAATTAAACATGTGAGAATTTTACATAATTCGTTAACCTATTTTTTTATTATACATATGTTAATTTCATCTTCGGTCATGGGTATAAGAAACAACGAGTTCATTCTTGAAGTGTAAGAATTCTTGCTTCTCGTAGGAGGTTTCTGGGTTGAAGCAATATAATAACTATTAAAGGCAGAGGCTATTTTCACAGGATCCGTGAGGATATTGTTATTTATTATTATTTATTAAATAAAACTAGTCTAGTAGGTTAGACTGTCCGTTTGTCGCGTTACCATGAACACCATGAATGCTGGAAAGGGGTCGAATCGTCGGGAGTTCAAATCAAAATAAAAAACGGGATAAAATCCGTAAACTAGTTTCATTTAATATGCATAATATTCGCGTAAAATCAAGAAAATATTATTATTATTTTCTCTATATTGTTCTTGGAATTTAAAGGATGTATTTCATTTTTAATAACGTTCCATGTAGCTCTGCATTTATGGTAATTTTTATTTATGTACTTTACGTTAGCATTCCTTTTAGATTTATAAATGCATTATTTTAAATTATTGGACTACACTTTATATTTAGTTTTGTTAGTTGTATTTTTATCTCTGTAGTATAGGTACCTTAGCACTCTTTTATTTTTGCAACTTATATCAAGGCCTTTGCTTATCCAGTTTTGTTTCCTTTTTTTGTTAATATCTATTTTAATTCGTAATTTTGGGAAATAGAGATTATAGAATAGACAAAATAGTTCAGGAAACTTACCGAATGATATATTAGCATCTTTTTCCGAGTAAATTTCTGACCAAGACAATTGTTGTAGACATTCTTTAAACTTCTGTACATTGTGTAGATCAAAATCTCTTCGATAAATATAATATGCTAGGTACTCTTGTTTGTGTTTTATATTTAGATGGAAGGCTTAACAGCTGTGCAGTGTCATGATCCGATAGATGGAGTGGTAGCACTGCTGCAGATGCAATTTGTGATCAATGCAAGACAACTTACGCGTGGGAACGTTAATACATACCTATCTTTAAATTATAATTGTGTCATGAATCATGTCGCTCATTTGTTATATATCCTTTTTGTAATGTGTTTATGTTAAAGTCACCAGTCATAACTACGTTTGTTTTAGATTTAAATTTCATACATTAGTAGTACACATACGTTAAGTTTGATTAAAAATTGCGGTGTAAAATCGGATCAGATTGGGGTGTTCTGTAAACGCAAAGTACTTAAAGAACGTAAAGTACTTACTTAACTTTATATTTATGATTTCAATTCCCCAAACCTCGAACGTATTCTGCGCTGCGCAGCTTTTTTAATAAAACATAATTCTTCAAAGATTATTTATTTATTTATTTTTAAACTTCATGCACAAAACAGTACATAGGCGGACTTAATGCGTATACCTTTTTTAACAAGGATGCAAGTTCCACATCTATGTTTTTCTCTTGAAAAGTGTGCGGCCCGACCCTATCATAACCACATATCCTAACATAATTTTCATGTCCACTTTTACTGAAAGTTTTAGAAAAACATATTACATCATGGTCATTATTGGTTTCTCGTAACTCCTCTATGTTTATTTCAATTAATTCTTGTTTCGATAGAATACAGGGAATATTTTGGTACAAAATTTTAAAATTACGTCTCGCGATTTTTATTTCTCTGGGTTAGAAAAAATGTACAATTACTTTTCGTCAAGGAAAATAATAGGGTACAGTTCCCTTTCTAAAGATAGAATCTGCCTTTATAGAATTTTCAACTGGTTTTTTAAAATAATATGGGATTGTTCCTTTTTTAGGTTTACTTGTATTTTTATTAAACTCTTTACTACTAGCTATATGGTTTCTAATTTCACTAGGATTTAAATACTTTTCTATATAATCACTCCACTCATTTGCATAATTTATTGATTTGCATATGCTGCTTCGGCTTAGATATTCATAATCTATGAAATTACAATTTTTATATTTTTTGCATTTATTTTTAATCGCATTATTTAATTTGTTTACATTTAAATACAAGTTTTTTTCCACTTTCAGTACAATAATCTTGTAATTAATAAAGTTATCTAAATTTACTTGTAACTGAGTTAAAACATACTTAATATTGTCATCATTTTCTCTTAGGCATAAGAGTAATTTATCGTCCGTTTTAAGTTTTATATTATGTCATTTTTTTATTATTTCACCACTGGATGCAAATGGCTTTGTTTTACCAATGACTTCATTTCCATACTGTGTCCCAAATCTGGAGCGATACTGCTGCAGCCAGACCAACGCATTGTTGAGAGCCGATGATGTAAATTTGTTTTTTGGGTATTTTATTTCTCGTTTATTGGGTATTTTATTTCTCGTTTTTTTATTTTGTGTGATTTTTTCTAAGAGTCTTAGCTAGCCACATTTCTTTCTATTGTAATTTTTTTTAGGTTGTAGGGCATTTTGTTGGTGTCAGAGCCGATATGATTTTTCTGAAAGTGTGTGGATTGGTACGTGATTTTTAGAATTACATGAGCCTTCAATTATTTTTGTCTTTCTAATTCTGTTTGATTTTAATTGTGTCTGTTTTTTGATGTAGGTTTAATATTGTAATCCTTGTTACCTTCGATAGTCTTCGATGTTTCGGTGTTCACCGTTGGTGTTTTCACTGTCGCGACGATACGGTGACAACTAGCGCCGCCTCAAGGCTGGCGTTTACGACCACTGTTGGCAGTTTTAGTCTTTGCACTTTTCGCGATGACATGCCACACTGATTCAATATGAAATTTGTCACATCTTTGTCTTCAACATTTTCTACAATCGATACGAAATCTAGTTCATAAGTGAGTGCCGTTTTTACATTTGTAGCATGTTACAACTAGCGACATCTTACGACCACTGTTGGCAGTTTTAGTCTTTATCTTCGATGCCACACTGATTCATATGATTTGTTATTATTTACCGAAAGACCGTTTTAAGCACGTTTAAGTTTTATAGTCTTCAAATTAATGTTTTTTTTTTTTATTTTTAAATTTAACCTAGGAATTGTTTCGGCCCAAAGAAATATGAAACAAAATCAACAAGGTCAAAGTTCGATTTCAGCTCGATTCGAACTTGAGTCACAGTTTGCTCGTTCGGTGACTGTAACGATTGGCGAACAAGTCCAACACGTTACGATCGCTGCTAAAATAGTCCTCTCTATCTTCGTTTAAAATTCGTTAGACACTGTTTACAGATTTATGTGGGTAACGTTGCATACACAATGATAAAAAGTTATGATTGCATTAAAAAATTTGTGCAGATTATTGTGCAATTCTTTTCTAATAGTTTCTTGAGTTTATATCATCAAATATATTATTAACGTAAAGATTCAAAAATAAAGTTCTTTTATGACAACTTGCATTTGTTTATGGTTAAAATTTAAACTTTCACTTCATATAGTATAACTATACATATATTTCACTATCGGCTTGAGTAATTATTTAAACTAAATTATTTTTACGGAGCAGATGCGTAAGACGTTACGTACGTTGTTATGTTACAGAATATACATTACAGAATAACGTCACAAAATTTTTAATAATTTATTTAGGTCCCACAATTTACACTATTAAATACGGGCTTTATTTAAACTTAAATATGCGACGTTTCGAATACGCTGCATCTGCACCATTCATGACCATCGGACAGAGACATTAAACGTGCCAACGTCACTGGAAACCTTGACTACCGTTACATTTTAAATTTATAATATACCCATAAATAGCCCTAACGTATTTAGGTCTAAAATTATATTTGTAAATAGTTATAATACTAGAAAAGAAGGGACATTTTTTTAATCCCTAAAATTAATCTGTTTCTATGTTATCGAAAGGAATCTTCAAAACATAACCGTGTTGAAAAGCACCGTCCGTGTTAGAGACCTCCTAAAGTTGCTTTAACTGGACGATCACAGCCTCGCCTCCAAGCGTCCATGAGTATCATTCTAGTCACTTCAAATATACTTCGGTGCCAACAGTCTCCCGATCCCACTCGATCTTCTGAAGCATAAAATTCTTAAATGAACTTAAGAAAACCCGATTAACTTACGAAAGCAGTGAACAAAAAGACCCTACTTAAAATCATACTTATTCAGATTTTGTAAAAGAGTCTCTGAATTACCATTGTAAGCCTGCAGTGTAAAAAAGGTTGTGGAAGCTTAATTCGTTATGAACGATATGATGAAATAATATCTAAATTACAATAATTTAGATATTTTTTTTTGCCCTAAAAATATTATGCCCTTTTTCTTGGGTTATGTGTTTTACATAAAAAATATATTATTAGCTAAGGTACAGCTATATTTAAAATAAAATTATAAATAATAGGTACTACACGTTTAAGATATTAATCACTATTATATCGACCTCTGTTTTTGTCCTTTCACTGTTTCGTTCGTCGTTTCTTTTAGCCTTTTCTTTTCCGGACCGGTAGTTGTTTTTTTTTTTTTGTTTTTTTTTACATCAATAAGTGAATGTAACGCTCCCCCTAACGGCCCCTTAACCTTTGAACAGAAAGGAGCAGCCAGCTCCCAAATCTAGCAAACCTCGAGGGTGCTCACAAGGTTTTTTTATGATGTTAAATGCACATAAACAATAACAGAACATTCAAATCATGTGCACGCGCCCCCCAATGGATTGGCGGATCTTTGGTTTTATTTGTTATTATTTCGATAATATAGGTAGGATACATGATAGGTCAGCACGTTGGAGCTGGAGGCTCAACCGTTGGAGTTGCACGAACATAATGTATTATGGAAATGGTTGTCTCAAACATTTAAATAAAAGTTCACGACAGCATATATCCACCTTATACGTTAAAGCATAAATATACATACACATAGTGCTCGGGTATTCGGGACTGCAGGCATTTATCAGATAGAGACAATTTCAAATATCGTTTTACTACTAAAATCGAACGTGTAGTTAAAATTTAAATATTTATATTATAACAATTTGTGCCTTAAGGGTATTTTACTTGAAGCATTGGTTAGGTGACAGAGCCGGCCGGAAACGGACGCTGCTCTGTTTCTAATGTCGTTAATATGCCATGTGAAGGTCATACGTGAGTCGAAAGTGCCCCTACATATTTGACCTTTTTCTCCCAGGGGAGTGGTTGCCCATAGAGATATCCCATTTTCCTCAAAACACATAGTGATTTTACCCTTCATACGACGATGTAAAAACTTAGTTGGAATCAATTCAAGTTACTACATTCTTTTCTTATGTCTATCTATAAGTTTGAGGGTCAATCGGTTAGTATAACTTTACACTACGTAAATCAAAATCAGAAATCAAAATCAAAATCATTTATTCATTGACATAAGAAACTTACATTTCATTTATCGATAGTCATATATTTTTTTTTAAATCTACCACCTTTTCGTAATGAGGTTCCTCTAGCGGAGAAGAAACAGGCGAAAGAAACTCCGCAGGTATCCTCTTTTTTTTAATTCATTTTTTTTAACAAAATATTAAAATATATATGCCATATAGCTCGTAGAACCGATAACCGTTGGGGAAGAAAGGTTCTCGAGTGGCAGCCTCGTACTGGCCATCGCAGTGTAGGACGACCCCCCACTAGATGGAGTGACGACCTGTGCAAATGTGCGGAAGTCGATGGATGCAGGTGGCTCAGGATCGTACTTCGTGGCAGTCTATGGGGGAGGCCTATGTTCAGCAGTGGACTCAAACAGGCTGAAATGATGATGATGATGATGATTAAAATATACAACTGAATTTTTTTTCTTTTTAGAAATAGCTTGGGAGCGATCAACTCATTCCTAGGGGTTATTGTCATTAATGTATTCATTTGTATTATAATAACTAACCCTTTTTATAAAGTTTTTCTTTAATAAATTTCTTAAACCTGTTAATAGTAGAAAGAGAGAGTGGGGGGCCGCTTTTATCTCTTCCTTCCGGGGCGCTTTTCCACCTTGCTACGCAACTGGTAAGGCTCATAATTATGTTGAATAAAGATATTTAAATTGCTTTGACACCAGTCAGACGAACAAATCATTTGATTGTGATTTTGTGTAAAAAGCTATTTCTTTGTGAAAAACGTTAATTTCCCTGTACGATAACATTAATTAATGTCAATTGTGGTAGCATTATATAAATGTGCAAACCATTGGGATTTTAATCTGTGAACTCGATCACAGCGACTTCCATTTAATCAATGCGTTTAAATCTCGATTAAAAAGAATAAAGAATTGCGCATAAGTGACACACGTGCATGGATTTTCGCCGGTAGCGAGAAAACCTGTTCCATTATACAAAAGTCGCCGGCAAACAGGTTGCGGATGTAAATATTACTATAAAATCCACACTGACGGTTGATATTTGTTTCAAAACGCGCAACATTCTGTACATGCTCAATACTGAAAAAATTCAAACCGTAAAAATATCAAACCGTAGATATAACCGTCGTGGTTTAACAAAAAATTCGAGGTTACGAATGCACTGATGTCGCTAATTGTAACATTATACACGTGTAAAAACTGACTGGTTTCGGATCATTTAAAAGGTCATTATCAACTTGAATTATATAGCGAATGAATAAACGCAAAGTAATTATTAATATAAAAAAACACGCGTTTAAAATATCTTTAGAATAATTAATAATAGTTAAAATAAATGTAGTAATTTAATTCTTCTCAAAAATCATTTGTTTTCTCGTCTGGTTGGCTTTATAGATAAAAATTAAACATATAGATATATATTGTATATATAAAATAAATATATATTATATTATAATATATTATAATATAATTTATTATTAATGTATTAATAATAAATCATTAATATTTTTTATTTTAAATGTATAGTTCAGGTACTATGTTGTAATTTTAGGTTTTTAAAAAAGAACAACGGAGATGAAACGGATTCAAGAAAACGGAGATGCACATATAAGTGTGTATTTTTTATTATTTAAATTGTGATAGTGCTATTCTCTGCACTTAAGATTAAATATTAAAATTTTTGTACAATAAAAAGGAACGAAAAGTTTCTCGCCGCTGTTGGAATCGAACCCACGTCTTCGGGATTCGCGCTCTGACGCTCTAGCCTAAGTCTAAGCTAAACAGCTGATTGCCAAACTGACC